CAGAAAACCCAGATTTGTTACTTACAGCCCACACAGTCACATTTTCTGCTGCGCATGTAGTGATAAACAAAACATTTCAGAAAAAAAAGAGGACTTCTCTAGAAATCCAACTCTTTCTCAAAAAAAGAGACTATTTTGGAACCCTTTGAAGAAATAGCCTTTCTTGTCTTTGACTGCTTACTACCTCTCAGCTGGTCACAGCCAGTTTTCTAATACTATGCTCTCCCCATCTATTATTCCTACAATTACTACATATAATTCTCATCAGTCATCTTCTTCTGATGTCTCCAACGAGAGCTGGCCAAATTATTTCTGCAAATAATTATCCAAAATTACCTTCAAACATTTTCTTCAGATGCTTGGGTGAATTTGCTCATGAAAGCATATGCATTTTGCCTGACTTCAGACTAACACAGCTAACTACCTGCATCTCTCTCTTCAAATTATTGTTATTAATAAGCTTACTAGTCAGAAATATCTGAAAGATATATTCATGATTTTTCAATCGTTATGATTTGGTACACACACTGTTATTGGTCACCTAAGTCACATAATATTGTTTCTGTTCTGTTCCCAGACAGCATGAACTTGAGTTCATTTTCCTGTTTGCTGGTTGTCTGTGAATAATCATAATTGTGCAATGAAGCCTTTTCCAAAATGGCACTTCCTATGCTACAACTTTTACATATCTATTCAGACCTCACCATGCTTTTGCTGTCTGCAGATGTTCTTGCAAAATAAATCTTACTAGCTCAAATGTTTGCAAATAAGTAAATTGAAAGGGGTTGCAAAAATCAGAAGCAAGTCACACCCTCTGAAAAACCCTTCTCAAGTTTTTTTTTATGGTGATTGTGTCTATTTTTAAACCCAACACATTATTGCAGGAGATTTACAAGCTTTCAGCTGGTCCCATTATTCTATTTTCCTTTTACAAACTGAGACTTTTGAAGTCAGAATCATGTTATGAATTCTTGATCATCCAAGCAGTCCAAGCTTGTGAGATGTGTGCTCTGCCAGTTTCATTGCAAAGTTTGGGCAAAATATAACATTTTGTTTGCTTGCAAGCATATAACCAATAGCCAGCAGTTACATTTACAAACGATTCTTTGGTTTAAAGGAGAAGATTTGTGCTTCAATAAGTTTCTAAAAAGGATTGCAACATAACTGATCACAAGCATTTATTTCTAATGTTAACGGCTCAAAAATAAATAATAGGAACTTGCAAGACCAGCCACCAGGAACTGGATGCTGAGTCTCAGTAATCTTAGAACCATCAGTCTTCTAAATATAAAATAGACCAGTGAAGCTTTTCTTTCTCCCTGCCTTTCACTCTCTTGTTTTTCCCACCCCCTTTTCCTCCCTTCCTCCCATTTTAGTTCAACTGGATATCATAGTTTTTGGGTCTCATAGAGTAAAAATAGACGTGGCATTTGAGGAAGTTCTGATTGATCCAAACCAAAACTTGAGAGCTGCAAAACCTGAGAGGGGTACGGCTTGTCCCTGAACTGAAAGGCAACTAACTTGAATTAGATTTGATTGTCCGGGGGTGGAAATGTTATCTTGGATTCTTCTGGGGTAGTTAAAAATATGTCTTTAGGATCCCAGGATAAAAGGCTTTGTCCCAAGAGAAATGCTTTGTCTATTTTTACCCATGCATTGGTATTAAACAACAGTAACTTGAGATGTAATCAGGACAAGTTATCTACTTGTCAATATTTTGAGGGTAATTGTAGGAGACTCAGATATTTCAGTCTCAAAAATCCCAGAGGTGGTATTGCCCAGGTAGAGGCAGTCTCCTAAGTTAACCAGATAAGAAAGGCTTGTTTCAGAGTTATAGGTTAATGGCATCGCTTTTAAATGACACATGGAAATGTAGAAGGAGCAGAGAAAATTGTGGAACACTTGTGTAATGCTTGCTCTATGTGGAACATCACTTAATGAGAAGCATAGCTACATTGTGCATTCGTGCATTTTCCACGTGGTCTCAAGAAACAGTAGAACACTTTTCTTTAGATTAATTTCCAGGTAACAAAGGTATGGATAGCTATAGTAAGCTCTGCATATAAGAATGTATTGATAGCTACCATGATCCCAAAGATCATGAGAAAGTATTAGTTAAAAAAAAAAAAAGGCCTTTGGTCACAGCTACCTGATCAGCAAGTAGTTGCTCTTAACCAAATAAAAACACCAAGCTGCCAATCTTCTTAAGTAACACACCGAAGATCCAATCATTGTTTGGAGATGCAAACATGATCCGTTGCAGCTCTCACTGTTTTGCCCCTTTAACTGACTACCTCAGTATAATATGTATTGGGCTTCAGATAGGAAACTGCAGTCTCACATGGATTTGAATGCAGGCTCTTCTTGGCTTCAAATCAGTTATATTGTTTTCAATTAATATAACATAACAGCAGAGAAAATTCACTACTTTTCACAGAAAGCAAATAACATGAAACTCTTTAAGGTCTGTGCATTAGCATTGACATGTTTCAAAAATAACTGCTGAACTCATATCATTTCAGAAAGCATAGCAGCACTATATAATTAATTATGACAGCCTTTCAGACTTTTTTCTCCTAAATTATCAGTGTTACTTGAAGGCCAGAAGAACACTATGGAAATAAAGGAAGGGAAATGTAAGAATGATTCTTCTGGGGTGTCTGTGTCAATCCTAGGTCCATAACAGCAAAACTTTTAATCAAATAGGAAGGAGAAAGAGCTGTAAATAGAAATAGATAGGAACTTTTTCCCATCATATGAATACTTCTAAGTTTTTCAAAAGTTTCTCATTCTGCAATGGGATGAAACTGAGACCTCTCTTGGAAAAAAACAGAGCGAACAAGTCATAAAATTTCCTTTTCTGTCTCCCCCAGGATAATCTGATGGTTTAGATCAGCAGTTCTGAACCGGGGGTTCATGTACTCTCAGGGGGCACGTGAGATATATTTCATACATTGTCTAACACAGGTCGAAGGGCCTAAAAAAAATAATTTCCCATTGAAAGGGGGTACATGAAGTCTCACTCTGAGACCAAGGGGTATGTCGACTGAAAAAGGTTCAGAACCACGGGTTTAGATGGAGGTCTGGGTTATAGAAAAGCCAGGCTTCTATTTGACCTCTCACATTCTTGCACATTGCAAGTGAATGCTCTACATATATAATCCATTGGAATGAGGGCTTAGATTTAGGTTTCCCCCATTCATAGTAAGCATCCCAAACATCAGCCAGTTTTGAGGACGATGGTCTATTTCTTGTTTTGAAAATTATTTCTGACCTAGCTCTCAAAAGTCCTTCCCAAGAGAAATTCTGTCAAAACTGGTAACTTCCTGAAAAAAAACTGAATCTACATCAAATTGACACTTTGCAATGTGACCCTATTTTGGACTATTAATCTCTTGTCTTCGTTTTCTTATGGTGACGCAGACTGAATAAGCTCACAGGAAATACGGGTTTTAGGCTGCGCCTTGCTTGCTTGCTGGTTTCTGGCCAGCTATATTTCCATGACTTAGATACAGGTATGTATTCAGAACAGACATGCATATGTAGTAATGTATGTGCCCAGCCAGCACATAACCTATTGCACATTCTCAGTCTACATGTATCTGTCTATAGTGCAGGAGAAGTAGAATTGCTACCTGCACATAAGTGCCAAATGCCACTTACGGCCATGTCTGTGTGCGTTTGCAGTAGCAAAAATAGTAGCAGCACAAATTGTGCCGCAGTGTACACCCTTGCCCATGATGCATTGTCTCACTGCTCCATGTGCTGCAGGGGGAGCTGGCTGGGGCACACAGTGTCTCAGTGTGGGGCTAGCCAGCAGGCAGCCCCACCACCCCCTGTTGAGGCACCATGTTCCTCAGCCAGCTGGGGAGCAGCACATGGAGACAGGGGAGGTTCTTCATCTCTGTGCAATGTGGAACCCCCCAGATGCAAAATAAATAAATAAATAAAACCCTGCCAAAAAAAAAAAAAAAAAAGGC